GAGGCGGGCAACCTGGGGAACCAGGGGAACCCGAGGTTCCCAAGGAACCCGGGGATGCCGGAAAACTTGAGAAACCCAAGGAACCAAGGGAACCCTGGGAACCAGGACCCCGGGAACCCCAGGAAACCCAGAGAACACGGGGAACCTGGGGAACCCAGGAAAACCGAAACCACGGCGAACCCGGGGAACCAGGGGAACTCGAGGACTCGAGGACCCCGGAAACCCGAGGAAACTCCGAGAAACGGGCAACGATACAATGTGAGGCACTGGAAGCGGAGAAGCCGAGGAAGACGGGGAGCCCCGAGCAACGGGCAAAGCAACACTCCGAGGCGCCAGCCTTTCACCCGGTAAGAGCCCCTTACGAAAGCCGAAGTGGGGAACGAACCTGCACCAGCACGCAAAACCGAAAACACGACACAAACTGCCTGCCGCCGTCAGCACCTCCGCGCGCGCGCGCGTCCTCCTCCTCCTTGCCGCCGTAGAAGGGCACCCCTTTCTCACCAGGCCCCTTGGGCCTGGGAGGCTCCCTGGGGCCCTTGCGGCGGCGGGGGGGGGGGCGGGCGGCCGCGCCGTGCGCCGCGCAGGGGCGGGGGGAGCAGGGGAGGAGGAGGGGGAGGAGAGGGGGAAGAGGGGGAGGAGGGGGGGAAGAGGAGGAGGGGGGAGGGGGCAGGGAGGGGGGAGGGGGAGGTTTGGACCGAGGAGGAGGAGGAGGAGGAGGAGGAGAGGAGGAGGGGAGAGGAGGAGGAGGAGGAGAGAGGAGGAGGAGGAGGAGGAGGAGGAGGAGGAGGAGGAGGAGGGAGTGGGAGGAGGAGGAGGGGGAGGAGGGGGAGGAGGAGAGGGAGGAGGAGGAGGAGGAGGAGAGGAGGAGGAGGAGGAGGCGGAGGAGAGAGGAGGAGGAGGAGGAGGAGGAGGAGGCGGAGGAGGCGGAGGAGGAGGAGAAGCGGTGGCGATCTCAGCGTCTGTCCACAGGGCTGGTGCTATCTATCGCTCAGCCTCGTAGGGCCAAGCGTAAGACCCCCTAGGGAGGAGGGACGAGCATCGACGGAGCAAACGGGGGTACCGATCAGGCCTCAGCGATGGCGCACAGGGGGGGAGGTGGTTGGATTGCCGTGTACTAGCGGAAGCCCTGAACTGGAGGCGGCGCCGTCATGGCCGCTCTTGTCCGACATCTCCAATGTCGCATCGTCGGGCTGGCAAGCCACGTGGCGGAGGTACCCCCGCCGACCGTGCGAGGCCGAGGCGGAGCTCGACGTCACGTCGAGGCTGCCAGCCGCGGTCTGCCACGCGGCGGCCGCTGGCCCGATGGGCGACCTGCCCCGCCGAACTCTGCCCGGCGGGAGGTGGCCAGCCACCCCGTGCCCAGGGCTCACGGAGGAGGCGCACGAAATCGGCGGGCACGGCGTGGCGCAGGAGGCGCCACGCCGTGCCCGCCGAACTCTGCCCGGCAGGGAGGAGGCGCACGAGGAGCGGAAGCAGAGCTCATTGGTGAACAAGGCGGGAATGAGGGGAAGACGTCATGTTCTTCCTGCTCCTCCTCTCCTCCTTCTCCTCCTCCTCCTCCTCCCTCCTCCCTCCTCCTCCTCCTCCTCTTCCTCCTCCTCCTTCTCCTCCTCCTCCTCCTCCTCCTCCCCCTCCTCCTCCTCCCCCTCCTTCTCCTCTCCTCCTCCTCCCCCTCCCCCTCCCCCTCCTCCCCCTCCTCCTCCTCCTCCTCCTCTCTGGGGGTGGGTGGTGGAACAGCAGGCAAGCATGCTGAATGCTACCGTCAAAGCTGGTGGCAAGGTTGCGCAAGATACGGACACAAGCCCCTTGGACGCCCGTGTTGATGCTCTTTAAAAAGGGGGGGGGGCCCATCGAGAGTCGCCAAGGATGAAACGAAGATGACCGACGAGGCAACGATGCGCGGGCACCCTGGGGAAATCGATCATCATTACCGTCGGTTCCGACTGTACACCCGTGACACATGCCAGGACCCCCCACACACCCCAGGGCCAGTGGGGGCTCTTGCTAGCAAAGCGCCCGCCGGAGCCCCCCCCTGTCGGGGGAACCTAAACAGCAATGCGCGCAGCGGCGGTCGTCGAGCACCCACGGGGCGATCGACAGCGGCAATACCCCCCCAAGCGACCCCCCCGAGAGCAACGGGTCTTCCGTGCTGCGTGCTCCCTGGGTTCCGCGTCGCGGACGGCATGGGCTCACACCGGCGTCGCCGAGGACGTCATCTGCATAGGACGCGTGCGGAGGCTACAGACATGACACGTATACCGAGGACACAGCACGCCAACGTCACCAACTTGCATGATATTATCCTGTCCGTCTTGCTCGGAAACTTCCTCCCCCATTCCTACTTCTCTCAACATGTATCCCGTTGCACCCCTGCTTCACTTTCCCTCCCCCTCTTCGTGCTCTCTTTTCCATGTTACTCTCACCGTGCCATTTCCTTTACCCGATCCACTTCCAACTCTGACTGATCTCACTCCTCCTACAAAGAGAACGTGGATCCTGCCCCTCCGCCAACCCTCTGTTTTCCATCACCCACCTGCCCCCAACACCTCTCGTCTCGCTTCCCTCCCTTCCCTCGTTTCCCTCCCTCTCCCTCCATCGCTTCTAGCGCTCCCCCGCCCGTGCCCGTGGCCACGTCGCTCCAATTGCAGGTGCAATGCCAGCTGGTTACGCCACAAAAGCATACCCTCCGACAGACTTTGCGTGCACCTACAAGGAGGGTGGCGGTGTATAAAGTCGCTGGCTCTCAGTGGTGATTCATGCACTGCCACCCTCTCCCGGGGGCCCAGGAACAGCCCAGGAACAATAGATTGAAGGGTGTCTGTACATATATATATATATATATATGTACAAATGAATGTACGTAAATACATACAAACATGCATACATGCATACATGCATACTTACCCACACGTACATATACACCTATACATTACATATGCATATGTATGTACATGTGCGTATACATATACACAAACATATACACATACATATACATATACATATACATATAACTATAAATATACATATACATATACGTATAAATGTACATATACATGTACATATACATATACATATACACATGCATATACATATACGTATACGTATACATATACATATACATATATATACGTATACACATACATATACATATATATATACATATACATATACATAACCGTATACATGTACATGTACATATGCATATACATATACATATACATATATATATATATATATACATACATATACATATACCTATTCATGTGCATATACATATACATTACATTCATATACATACATGTACATACACGTATACGTAAACATATACATTTACAGTTTCATACATACAGACAGACAGACGGACAGACAGACATGCATACATACATACACACACATACATGCATGCATGCAAATATGCATACATACATACATGAGTACGTACGTACGTACGTGCAGACATGCATCCATGCATGCATCCATCCATACATACATGCATGCATGCATGCATATATACATACATACATACATACATACATACATACATACATACATACATACATACATACATACATAACTACATGCATACACACATTTATTACATACATCACATACTTACATATATAAATGCATACATATATACATACATGTATGCATACATACATGTATATCTACCTACCTACCTACCGACAGACCTATCTATATTCATATGTATATATACAATCATGCATACATACATACATACGTACATGCATGCATGCATGCATGCATGCATAAATAAATACATACAAACAAACATTTATATATCTATATGTACATACATACATACAGGACTGCAGTGGCGCTTCGCGCCATGCACCTTGGGCCTTGAAATTTGTAATGCAGGCGGAATGGCAGCAGGTCAAGCCGACAAGTTCGCGATAACTCTTGATTGCCTTTTCTGGCATTGCCGCTATAATATTGTTATGCGTTATCCTTCCACCATGCTTATTGTTCCATATTTTCGCCATACCCTGCGCATTCTCCCCATCCTCCTCAGCTCTTTTTTTGCGGAGGCTCCTCCTAGGAGAGCCTCTAGGGGCCTCACAAAAGTTGTTTCAGGCTTTCTTAACGCCTTCTGGAGGCCTCCTGGGCGTATTCTGGGGGCCTCTGGGGGCTTCCTCGGGCCACCCTGCCTCCAACCGCCGTCTCCCTGAACGACCGAAACACGATTTGGAATTCTTCGGAGAGTGTCTTTGGGCCATCTTGGGCCGCCATGGGGCTCTCTGAGGGCCATCTTGGACCCGTGTTGTGCCGTTTTGGGGCTCTCTTGGACTGCCTGGAAGCCCTTTCGGATGGTTGTGGGGCGATTTGGGAGCCTCCCAGGCGGCTTCGGACGCCCAGAAGACCGCCGTCTTGGAGCGTCGGGAAGCCGAAAAGAGGAGAACCCCAAAATTCACCAATAACCCGCAGAAAATCAATCATTTTTGCCTCGGGGGGCCTTCTTGGGAGTGCTCTTGGAGGCCTCTTTGGGGCCGTCCTGGAGGCCTCTTGGGCCATCTTGAGGTCACGTCGGTCACTCTTGGAGCGCTCTTGTGCTGTCTTGGGGTCTCTGGGACGTCTCCGATGACCCCCCTGATCGCCCTAAGTGTGCTGGGAAGGCTTGGCAAAACGCCTTGCGAGGCCCGGTGGCCGCTTCGAGCCCCGTCCGGAGGGCCCCAAAGCCCCAGGTCCGGGAGTCCGGTTTTGGGGGGGGGGAGGGGTGATGGGTTTCCCCCCCGCCCAGGCTTATAAAAATATAGGAAGAGGAATATATGCATGCATGCATGCATGCATGCATGCATACATACATACATACATACATACATACATACATACATATATACATACATTCATACATACATACATACATACATACATACATGCATGCATGCATGCATGCATGCATGCATACATACATACATACATACATACATACATACATACATACATATATACATACATACATACATACACACACATACATACATACATACCTATATACATACCTACTTCTACATATATATGCATATATATAAACATATATATATAGGTACATGTATATGTATACCTGCCTATATACATATACATATACATACATACATACATGTGTGGCGAACTGGTGCACAATCGGCGATCGCAGCGCCGGCCGGTGGGGCCGACGGAGCGCACGTCGGGGCTGCGCTTCTCTGCACGGGACAACCGCGAAAGAGCTTAACATCCTCGGCCCTGAGTCGGAGGCCTCTCAAATGGGGTCCGAGTGGAGGAGGAGAAGGAGGAGGAGGAGGAGAAGGGGGAGGAGGAGGAGCAAGAGGAGGAGGAGGGGGAGAAGGGGAGAAGGGGGAGAAGGGGGAGGAGGAGGAGGAGGAGGAGGAGGAGGAGGAGGAGGAGGAGGAGGAGGAGGAGAGGAGGAGGAGGAGGAGGAGGAGGAGGAGGAGGATGGGGTCGGAGGATCGCGCCGCATCGCCAATGCATCGGCGATGCATCGCCAATGTATCGGCGACGCTGGCATGGAGAGAATCGGGCTCCACATCGAGCCGCATCGCCGATGCATCGGAGATGCGGCGCGATCCTCCGACCCCATCTACTCCGACCCCATCAAGCAGGCCTAGATGAGTCCAATGCCTCCTTCCCTGGCGTGAGTCGGTTTCGCGAGGGTCGGTTTCGCCCCGTCGCTTTCGCCGGAGTCGGTTCTGCCGGAAGAGTCGGTTTTTCGCTGGAGTCGCCGTCGCCGGCGATCGGCTTCGCCCCGTCGGTTTCGCCGGGGTTGGTTTTTGCCAGCGGTCGGTTTCACCGGGGTCGGTGTCGCCAAAGGTCGGTCATGCCAGCAGTCGATTACGCCGGGGTTTGTCTCACCAGGGTCGGTGTCGCCAAAGGTCGGTGTCGCTGGGGATTGGTTTCGCCAGGGTCGGTTTCGCGGGCGGTCGGTGTAGCCGGGGTCGAGCTTGCCAGGATCGGTTTCGCCAGGATCGGTCGGGGTCGGCTTCCCCAGAGCCTATGTCCAATGTTGACACGCGTGCACGGCGGGTGGGTCGGATCGGGCGGGCGGACCCTGACGGGCGGGTCGGGTAGGGCGGGACGGGTCGGGCAGGCGGAGCCTAATTAACAGGCGCGACGGGTCGGGCAGGCGGGACAGTAAAGTATGATGCATCATCGAGTTCGCACGCGTGCCTGGCGCGCAGGTCGGGTCGGGCGGGCGGACCCTGACGGGCGGGACGGGTCGGGCGGGCGGCGGGCGCAACCGACCGCGCAAAACCGAGCAGTCGAAACCGACCACGGGCGAAACAGACTGGCCGAAAGCGACCGCGATGAAACCTGCCAGGCGCAGCCGACCCGGGCGAAACCGACAGGGCAAAACCGACTGGTGGGCAAAACCGACCCGCCGAAAGCGACCGACCGAAACCGAACCCGGGCGAAACCGATCGGCCCCCTTCCCCCGACCCCGCTTCCATCCTCCGACCTCCGACGACTCGATTTCGCGAGTGGCTGTCGGCGACTCCGGAAGGTGCGGTTTGCAAAGGGCGCGCGGTTTGCAGCCCGCGCATATGGGGGGGCGGGCGAGGACCCCCACCGAGCTCCCCGCCGCGCCCCGACGATGCCCGACGAGGGCAACGCGGTGCCCTCCCCAACACGGGCGTAACCATACCCTGTGTTGGGTGGCGAGCGAGGGGGAGAAGTGCGGAGGAGAAGGCCCTCTCAGAAGTGAAGGCGGCGGGACTTCTCAGAAGCCCTCTGGCATTCGTGAGAGGTCTTCTGTGTCTTCGGGGAAGTCTTAGGGAACTTCGAGGAAGGCCGGGGGACTTCCGAGCCTTCTGAGAAACCTGAGATCCGACGTTGCGAGAAAATTGCAATATCGTGAAAAATCGCGACCCCAGCCCCGAACCCCATCTTTCTGCGGCATTTTTCGAACCAGATCGATCTGTGAGCGTCCCAGGACCCGAAACCTGGGCGAAACAGCCCGCTGTGAAAGAAATGCAACGCCAGGATCTCAGGGTCCGAGCCTTCTGAGAAGGCCCGCCCCTTCTCGCTTCCCCCCCAGGCGCGCCGCCGATTTGTAGTCGCCGACGCTGGGCTCCAGACCCCTCGAACTTAGATACTCATGCTGGGGACCCTCCCGGAGCCACTCGCTTCACTCGTGCGTCGAGGCTGCGTCGAACGTCCATCGACTGGAGTCGAGCTTGAGCCGAACCTGAATCGAACCTGAGTCGAACTTGAGTCGAGCTTGAGTCGAACTGGGGTCGAACTGGAGTCGAACAGATCCGTTGGGTGGACCCCAGGAGGTTCCCGAAGCGAGCACCTGATCGAACCCTTCCCCTGGGGTGGCGAAGCTCGCCGTGCGCCGTCTTTCCGCGCGGCCCCGAGGCCCTGACAGCACGGCCTCCGGACGCCAAGGCCACCGCTCGCCGCGGTCCTGCTCGGGACGCCGGAGGTCTGGGCAAACACCTGCCGGGACGCTTCCTGGGCTGGCCAGGCATCCGAAGCCCT